GACCACTCAAAGCCAGGAAGGTTTGCTCCCTCCTTCTATTGATGTCCTGACTTTTCTCAGGATCATCCACCCTTGTCCCCCTGGGCTCCACTGTTTATGAAAAAATAAAAATAGATAAAAATAGCAGTCCTGCTTAGTGGTAATATCAGTCATGCCGGCCTAATACTTGTTGCTGTTAGTCTTCCTGCTGATTCCGAGTGTTTGCTTACTTGATTCTGCCAGCATGTCTTTGGCAGAAAGCTTTGGAATCGCAGCGTGTTCGGAGCTTTACAGCATTACCCTCCCAGCTTGCTGTTTCTACCTGCTTTGGATCTACATTTTCATCTCTTTGTCCTGTGATTTTAGATATATCGGGCTGTGATTGAATGATGTTGTGCTGCAGCGTGATGCCACGAGTGCCTGCTGCTCTCTGTTTCCCTGTCTCTGGCAGAAAAGCCCCATGACTATTGTAATAGCATGAAAGTTGTAAAAATAGCCTTATCGCAACACCTCGAACGTAAGCAATCAAAATCTTGACATGTTGTTGTAGCCTCACAGAATAATTAATATCTCAAGTATTTCTTTTTTTTAGATATATTTTCATAAAACACATGCAAAAACACACATGCGCAAAGAGAGACTTGTTTTAGCACGTCAATGGCTCTGAAAACTGTGAAAACCTTCAAATCACAATTGCACCTCATTTTGTTGCAAGCCAACACAGTGAAGAGCATGAGCAACATTTTTACTGCGCTACATGTTGGTGACAGCATCACTTTGTACAGGTTCTTTTCTTCAGTGGAGGCAGGGAAGCTGGTTGAAGCTGATTGGAAAATAAACTGGGCTAAATACAGGACAATCCTGGGAGAGTTTCAACAGAAGCCCCAAAGTCCAGACCTACATCCAACCGAGACTGACTGAATTTCTTAAGAACAGTGGCACATGTTGGACTCAAGATGTTCAAAGTCTTTAGAGGCTTGCCCCCGTGTAGACTTGCAGCTGTTACTGCGGTACAAGGTGGTTCTTCAGAGGACCGAAAGGTCAAATACAAACACAGACAACACTTATATATGTTTATACTTTAGTACATTTTGAAAACCGTGTTTGTTTTATTTCTCTTCCCAATTATGCAACACTTTGTCACTTTAAAATCGCAATACAGAAAACATGAAAAAGATCCATGGATGTGAACCTTTTTGCAAGGCTGTGAGCTTCTCCCACAAACTACTTCCTCATATGCTTATAACATTTAAGCCATTGAAAAATGCATAGCTGCATCTTTTTAATGTTTCATGCTAACACCTACATCTCTGGTTGTCTTAAAATGCAGAAACAGCAAAAACTTTGATCAACAAATAACTTTGCAATCTAACTTACTCAGCTCTACAGCTGCAGTGACTACTGATAACAAATCAATTTTATTTTATTTATTTTTTCCAGGAACATCCACAGTTTATGCAGCTTGTCAGAAACTCTTTCATTTCCTAAAGTAGCAGCTTCTGTATATCGTGTCCAGTGGTGTGCAGGGGCATGGAGTCTTTTGTAAAGTTGTTGCATGAGGGCCCCATTTAGTCCACTCTGACTGACATAGTTCAGTCCTTCTGTGTTGTGGAATCAACATGTTAAACATCTACAAAAAAACAACATTTTTTTCCAGTTGGAGGCTTGATAGTTCCTTATGAGGTTAACTAACCTGCAGCCTCTCAAAACACATTAGTAACACATTATTAGTTTTTTCCTCCAAACAGTGTATAGTATATGCAGTGATTTTTGTAATCAAAACAATGTGTCATAGGTACAACCGGCTTGCCTGCTAGCTATGTTAATGTTCACACTGTCCACCAGGATCTATTTCGAAAACAAAATGTTAGATTACAATTTTGCACATATTATTCTGACAAAGTTTAAACAATTGCTTGAATTAAGCTCTTTAAATATTAGCGGTGATTACGTTTTGAATTCTTTTGTAATAATTTTGCTTGTCTCCTTGAATCTGAGGCTCATCCTGCAATGCACATCAGAAAATCTGATAAAAGGCCTTTGAAACAGCTTTAAGGGTGTAAAGGTCTACCATTTTATGCTGCACAGCCTCATGCAGAACGAGACATTATGATAAAGTGATGAAAACTGTTACTGTGCATTTTGTGCTCAGCGTAGAGGTTCCCTGACAGAACAACAGATTTTTTTTTTTTCATAGAAGTAAAGTGCTGTCAAAAGCAGTCAAAAGCCCTATTTTTAACACAGTCCTACTCAAAGTAAAGTGTTTTGCTTTTAGTGGCACCTGACAAAGAAAGGTTCAGCTTTCAGTGGAGATGCAAAGTGTAAAACAGATTTGTCTCTGTTGTTTCTCCAGCTTTTTGAAGGAGCGAACAAATTTACAGTGTGCCTAGTAATCAAGACATTTCATGATTAATTTAAATTTCTGATTTCTGCATTTGTGAAAAAGATGCCATGTTAGTAAAAGCATGTCTGAAAGAGGCTTTAAAACGTGTTGCGAATTCTAAAAAGACCAGTAATGTTTATTTTAAACCCATAATGGTGTCAATAAGAAGCCATAAACAGCTTTGGGATGACTGATTCTTTTGTCTTTGTAGCTCTACATTTGTCGACTGTCAGTTTCGTTCTTTGTGCAAAATGCTGTCAGAAATATAAATTGTAATGATAGCACCTGTGTTGTCAGTGATCTGTCTTTGCCAGATCCCCCCTTTCTTCTTTCCTACATTTACATGCCTCTCTGCACCCTGTTTACCCTCAACTCCTGGTGGATTATTCTCCCTTCAATATATTTGCATGCATTTTATTTTTCCTTTCGAGTTCATTACTCATCATGAGTTCATCTTTGCTGGATCCTCTCGCTGTTCTCGCTCGGTGACTGGCAGCAGCAGAAAATGCTCAGTAATGGCTGTTAGATTTTTAAGTGCTGCATGACAGGTGCACCGCATTGTGTGATAGGAAATGCAGAATCGAGCTGTTGTGCAGTGCATACTTTGCTGAAAGGAAGCATACCCCCCCCCCTTACAGATTTCTGAAGTTGTTTTTTTTTATTGTAAAAGTTGAATATTTCATATTATCCAGCATTTTTAAATATTGTATAAATCGTTAGCAAATAAAGAAAACAATTTTCCATCTGTGGAGGCAACCTTGCAAGATTTTAAAATCACTTCCTTCCTGTGGAGGAAGTTTTATTTAGCTCCATTAAAGGCATTTCAAGCATTATTTGGTTGTTTAAGATCATAAAATAGGTCACAGCATTTCAATTGAATTTAATTTGGGCTTTGACTAGGCTATATTAAGGCCCTTTTGAAGTAATTTTGGTAGAGTGGCCACTTTTAAGAAGACTAACCACTGTGCCATGCTTTTGCCATTTATGGATAATCACAATATTTACAGAAAACCCAAAGCCTTACAAATAATTTTGTTAATTATTTTTTTCATCTGTTGATGAATTTCTGTAGATACAATATTGTTTAATATAATTATTAGGCTACTTTATGTTAGCAGAGAGGTTCTACTTAAGGTTTTAGAGATTAGGTAATAATCTGGTTATGGTATGGTCATAACCAGATTATGGTTATGACCATACCATATAATTATAGTGAAAGCCGGTATGGTTTCAGAAGAAAATGGCTTTTGTTTTTACTGTTATTTTTTTGTTTAATAGTTTTTAATAGTTTTTTGTTCAGAAACACTTGAGTGTGACAAAACAGAAGGAATGTGTAAGGGAACAAACACTTTTTCACAGAACTGTGTATGCATTCGTATATGAAGAGCCTTGGTGGGGATTGCTTTATATTTGATCTCTTTAGGGATTGTTGCTCTTACCTAGTAAAAAATTTATTCCTTTTATTGAGTCGTCCCATTACAGACCGTAGCATATTGCACCAGTGTAAATCAGTATTATAGCCTGACCACAAACAGACACAGATGGAGCTTGTGTGCAGATAAAGAAAACATACATATAGAGAGGTAAAAAAAAAAGAAGTGGCAAATATTGATTTTTAAAGTGTGCAATGATTTTTTTAAACTTTATGATTCCTTTTGATCTGTGATAAATGAACAGCTATTATGCTGTACGCTGCTGCAGGGCAGACATTTCCCAGGTACTTTTGAACAAATTAGATGGCCACAGCTCCAGAAATATTACTCACCCTTCATTATTTTTTCTCATTTTGTCCCATTACAACCAAAAACTTGCATGAACTTTATTGGTTTTATATGTGGTACCTCAACGCAGGTAATTGTGAGGTGAAAGGAAAACGTCAGTCATTATTTTTTTAATACTTTCAGCAAAGCTCATAAAAAATAACTATTTTACGATTGGTTTGCAATAATCACTAAAAAAAAAAAATGATTCTTTTCATGTGTATAATTCTAACCTGCACAGAGCGCATGGATAAAATAATTGCGCAAAATAGTTCAGTTGTCATTGCACAAAGCTCTGCAGTGGAGACCTTTTCCCTTGCTACTGCTCCCAAGCTGAATAAATTACTGAAAGTAAGACTCTGAGTGACAGCAGAGCTGTAGAAACCTCCAGTATATGTACAGGACATTTGTATAGGGGAAATTTTGTGGAAAGGGTTTGTGGAAATTGTGCAAATTTGGTGGGATTGTTATGACAAGATTAGCCATGTGTCCTGCACTAAGAGCTCAGAGAAGAAACAAAATGCCCAAATGAAATTAATTTCTCAAGCTATGATGAAATGGAACAAAAACAGGAGAATATGTGCATGAGCATTCACAGTGTTTTTAGAAGAATTTTGTGCAAACTGTTGTTTTTTGGTGTTCTACCCATCTTGTGGGCTTACATGTCCACCAAAGTACTCTGGAGGAGCTGCAAAAGTCAGTCTTCTTCCCTTATAAATTATGTTACATTATGTTACTTGAACCTGCATCTGCATCACCTACATAAGTTATGCTCTATATACACAGACACATTTTTTTTTATTTCAAATGACCTTCTTTGTAGTAGCTGATGTACTGATGTAGTAAACATTAAATGTTCTGCTTTGTTTTATCACCAGAATAAGACAAATCCCCTCAATGTGACCCCATCTATCCAAGCTGTGGACCAGGACAGAAACATTCAACCTCCGTCGGACAGACCTGGGATCCTGTACTCCATCCTTATTGGTAGGTTGAACTTTTGTGAGCTCAGATTTGCTCCACGAGGGGACAACAATAGAGTTTCACTTTTTTGTTGACAGTACTTTCAGCAGGCAAGGCTTAAAACATAATAGAGTTGTTGGTTTGATGAAAAGTAGGTTTGACACCTGGTTACGAGTTGTTATTTCCAAAATGCACCGTTAACTTGACAGATGAGCTTCATTGGAACACACATTCTAAACTGTAGAAAATAAATGTATTTTATGTAAAACAAATGCTGCACAAGAACATTTATTGATAAAGAAATCAATTGTTTTGAATTTTATCTTTGTGTTTTGTCCTAATTCCCTGGAGAATAACAGGGAGCGATCAGATCCCTGACTCCATCGTCTCTCTTCCCGGCTTTCTTGATTTAAAGAGATGTGGCAAAAGCAAAGGAGGTGGATTAGCAGTGCTTACAAACTGGCCACCAGAGATCCTTCCTGCCCACAGCATCATCATCCACAACTCTTTCAAGATACTTGAATGATATGAGTAACAACAACATGTAATATCCCTTTGGAATCGATATGATATATTTTAAAATTAATTTAAATAGAGTTCTTGGCGCAGTCATTTAAATGTTACAGTCAACATGCATCTATAATGGAAATCAATTACAAGGCTCTTGAGACAGTAAATAGTAGTTCACTTTAGGGCTACAGAGAGAATGTTTTGGTTAATGGGTTGGGATTAGAAAATAAATGTAATTAATAGGAAGAATCTCAGACTTTCTAATAAATTTTTAAAAAGTTTATTTGCAATGCCTACAATTTATCATTCAAAAGATCTTTTTTTTTTTTGATCAGTTACAAAAACTCTAATATTTCAATTAAAAGTCGCTTTAGTTCCATCCCAACACACTCAAGCCTGAGAATAAAAAGCTATTTGGACTGAAAAACTAACAGTTGGGATACTATATAAGACTGATGGTAATGTTGCTTAACATTTACATCCCACTAAACCCATTTTGTGTGCTGACTGTACATATTGATTTTTGCTGCGTGTCTCACTTCTTCCCTTGCTGAATTTAAGGGAAAACTAAATTTTTTTCATCATACTGAGAACAATGAGTCAGTCATAGTGAAATTATGTAAGTATGGTAACCTTACATGATTTCTAAATACTGTCCAGACCACTATTACTGTTATGACTCTAGGGTTATTATAGATACAAAAATAGTTTTGCACTACACCCACCACAATGCCCACCTCCTCTGCCTCCATAATAAAGCTGTGAACAACAACCTTAAAATAAAGTTATACAGAGATGGTGACCCTAAGACGTCACAGCTCACAGCTATCCAGCAGTGAGCTGTGGATTTTGTTGTTGTTTTTACCTTAGCCAGCCTCCTCCTCTCTCTGCATGGTGACAAGATGATCTTTGATTCTTTAACTGGCTGCTGATGTTTTCATGTCAAGAGAAGTTTTTTTTTTTTCAGTTGCCATTTCTTGACCTTTTAAGATCATCACGCGACTGCATTGCTTGAAAGGCAAGCTGTCTTTTCGTTCCCATTTTGAAACCTGCATGGGTTAGATGGGCCTCTGTGCCAGGTCATATTTAAATCTCAAGGGAAAACAGTGAGGTCTGCGTTACAAATGGAAAGCTTAAAGCTATTCTCATAACCTAGATCTACTTAAATATGAATGTAAAAACAACAACAACAACAAAAAACACTGTCTAAAGAAGAGGTTCAATTCAGTTCAATTCAAAAATACTTTCTTAATCCTAAAGGAAGAGAAATTAAATGTATCCCATGTTATCCAAGTTTCATCTTCTGTAGTGGTCAGTGTTACTGTAGATCTGAAGAAGCTTCTGACTGAAGGCGCTCTGTTGTTGTGCAACAGTTGCTTGAAGAGGATTCTCAAAGTTTTCCATAATGTTCTTCATTTTGTGGAAACATACTTTTTCACACAATCGTCTTCAGAGGTTTCCTGTTTCACCTTAATCCTGATCCCACATAAAATGGTAACAGCCCAGGCGTCAATATCTGCAACATTCAGAATTAATTCAACAAATGATCCGTAGGGGTCACTTGAAGAGATCTCAAATTTAACAGATTTGGAGAAATATGATAAGGCATAGCGGGGAAATACTGCTAAGTTAAAATGTGTCATACTGTTGACCTTCTACAATAAAAAAACTGGATGCCTAAGTTAAATTATGGGGTGTTTTAAGAAAGTATTGGTTTAACAATGTGCACATTTTTGCAACTCTTAATGTGCTACATTTATCTCCTCACAAATTCGCTTAGTTTTCTTTTCTTTTTTTTAACCGTATTGTGAAAATGTCACTTTAAAAGTGGAAAAGGTTTAGCAATTATTTCTCATGGCTTTTCTTTTTTTTAGATCTCACAAGGCTGGTTTATTTAACAGGCTGTTTACACTTTTGAGATCTGCTTTATTAAAATGTTTCTGCTGCTTAGTTTGAAAAAAAAAACACTTGGAGGCTGATAAGTTTTGTTAGATAATCCGCCTTATCTGCTCTGGAAGACCTTGCAATGGAATCTTCTCAGAACATTTGTTGTAAATATATAATTAAAAGATTTAAGACAAAAATAATATAAGAATTAAAACACTTACTGTTAGAAAATGTACTTACTTAGGCTCCAAGTCAACATAATTTAAATATTTTGAACTACTGCAGTACATTACTTTTGCCAAAAGCCTCAATTGATAAATCATTGACTTCACCTGGAATGGTCAGGATTTGTCTACATTTCTTTTACTAAAGCAATAACTAAGGCAAGGAAAACAGGATGCATCTGAGAACCCCCTCCGCCCAAATCATCAATGTGTGCTAAAAAAAGAAGTAACACACATTCATAGAGATGCACAGGAGACATATAATTGTGCACACGTGGCTGTGTTGGTTCTCTTCTTATGAGAACTTGATTTCCCCACAGAACAATGCCGCATTAAAAGCGTCATATATGAATGTGAGCTGCGCGGGCTCATCCCCTCCCATCGAAGGCCGAGATGAGAGAACGGGGAGGATTAGTCATGCCCCCCCCCCCATCCCTCCATCCCTCACTCACTCACTCCTTTCTTCACTTTCCCCCATGACACTCCAAACATACATATATTTTCTCCACCTCTCCCTTTCTCACTCACTGATGTTTTCCTATGTTCTGATTTTTGTTTGCTCTTTTTTTTTTTTTTCCAGGAAAACCAGCATCCTATGCAGAATATTTCAGCTTAAACAGAACCACAGCAGAACTCATGCTGCTTAAACCCATCGACAGGGAGCTCTACCGCAGATTTGATCTGGTTATCAAGGTAAGAGAAATAACAAGGGCACAGATTGCCTTTTTAAAGTTTGCTTTTTCTTTCCATAAACACCAAACATCCTTGGTCTCAGCCTTCATATTCTAATACCTTTCAGTCGCAAAATATACTCAACCTTTTAATAAACAACTCTTCCTCAGGTTATATTAATACTATAATTTTCTCATCAGATTATTTGTCCGACAAAAAGGAGACTAGCATGAACCTTTTTAATTTGCAGAAAGTTTATCATCGAATCTATTCCGATTTGATGAGTTTGATTATCTTTTTTGTTTTGTTTTGTTTTGTTGAGCCTGTGATGGAAATACACCACAAAACATTGATGGACTTCTCATCGGTTAAAGCTTCAAATAAAGTTTGTATTCAGTAATATTCTTCTGCTGGAATAAAAGATGAGATTTCAAACCAAGTCTGTTGGGATAACACCCCAACTAATATCCGCAAGGAACAGAAAAAAATAAGTGGTTCCAGAAGAATTCAAACATCCCTACTCTTTACCCTCTTTGTAGTCTTGCTAAATGATTTCAAGCTGAGGAAATAAAAAAAAAAATGTCAATATGCGCTATGCAGAGGGCATTTAAAATTCCCTGATTTTCATTGTATTACATTTTGTATTTCTTAACTGATTTCTGCACTCTCAGTATGTCTTACTAAACTCAGGATGAAGGTACAGAGTTTTTCTCTGTAAGCATTAATTGCACAATAATAAATGACTTCCTTTATTAGTTGAAGTTATCAGTGAACACAGAGCACAAGATGTGATGAAGAAAACAAAACGTCCTCATAACTAAGCCTGTAAAGAACTAAACTATTAGTGCTTCTTTAAAGTTTGTTTTTTTTAATCTTAATTCATATATTTCCTGTCTTTGTGGTGTTATGAAAGAATACAAAGTGTCTGTGCAGCGTAAGATCTCTGTACAAGGCAGACTTCTTCCAAGTCAGACAAATAGAGTTTGACTTTGAAACTCAACAAGTTGGTCAAATTCATCCTGTTCACTTTATGGATGACTGAATTGTTTTTCAGTGTTCATAAATTCAATTTCACAATGTTTCGTAATGCTCAGGGTTACGCTTGTAGATCAAAGTAATCTGGAATACTAATAATCTGATATGAAACCTTATCTCAAAAAATATCTTCGGATCAGGCACAATGTTAACTTTTCTAATTAAGAGTATTCATCAGTAAAAAAAAAAAGGAGGGGGTTACATTTTAACACAAGAAAATGAGAAATGAGTCTGTTCTGTCTGGAAAACAGATCCACATGAACTGCAGTCTCCATTTGTTTTGCTGAAAGAAAATTGATCCTTAACTCTAAAATTTCCAGGAGTCTTCCAGCATGTTATATGGCAGATAGAGCTCAAACATAATTGCAGTCTTAATATTTTCCAAACAATCCGTTTCGGGTTTTTAAAACAGCTTTTAACATTTCTGTGTCACTGATTTTGAAAATGATGTTCTTCCTTCATTCACGACTTCCATTCTGAAGAGTTTTGTTCTTAGACGTGTAAGTAGTTGACTGAGGAGTGCATCACTTTCACCAATCCACCACAGGGCTATGTTTGATATAAACAGCAATTTTTATTACAACTAAAGGTAACAAAATTACCTTATTATGTTATGAAGTGGCACTATGTGCTTGGAAAATACATAATAATGTCCCTTTAGCAAAACTTGTCTTGTTTAATGGCAGCCTTACAATAAAAAGCGAAATGACAGCCCTGCTGGGATTTGCATTAGGATTCCAATTTCACATAGAAAAATATGTGTTTTTGCCTCCTAGATTCCACATACATCACTCTATAAATATGACTCCCAAAAAACAAAAACCTTAAAATGGTTGTTGCGTTTGCCATAGTTGGTACCGAGGGCAAAAGGATACACTTGGAAAGGATTAACAGCTTAATTCATAAATGGATCAAATTTACTAAATTGCAGAATACAAGCAAAAAGGGGGCTATAAATACGATATCTGCTAAAGGCAACTCAATAGTGTCTTTAATCCAAACACTACATATAATGTTTGTAATATAATGTTTGAATATATGTTTGAATATATTTGTTATGTCTTCCTGAGGTTCTACAGGAGCTTTTCAAAGCCACGAGACTCTGTGTAGAAGTTCAAGCACTGGAAAGAAGTCTGGCTGTGCCAATTATTTGAGCTGTATAGCAAAAATCAGCCAGGCTTGTTTAATTGTCTTTAAGCAAATAACAGTTATCTGTTGGACATTGAGCCCAGGATGGAGTGAAAGTGCTCCTGCTGAATAAAGTCAGGATGGGAATCCTGTGTAGGCTGAAACTTTTGACCCTGTTAAACAGCAAACGACTCTTACCAATTTTTTTTGTAAATCACTCCATCTATTCCTAGCTATGAATAAAATGGGCTAAACTAGTTGAATAATATAAAGAAATTCTTGAAAGTAGCAAATTGCAGTAAATAGTTAGCTAAGCTCTGAGGTTGATTTTATTTTTGTTCTGGCAGAAAGGATGATAGAAACTTTTACTCCCCTTCTGACAGTAGAAGGGGAGTCTAAGAAAAGTGTTCTGCTAGCTGACAGTACGACATAAAACCTCACTTTCCAGCTTTGTGTAGTCATGGGAATCATCAAAGTAATTATGATTGATTGAATTATGAAACTATTGTCATTACAGAGGATATAACCTTGTGTTCTATTGTAACTATGAACAATTTGTGGTATTCGCAGGATTAAAAATCCCACTGAATAACTGTAAACACAAAAGCAGTTTTCTGCTTGGGGTGAGATCAGAGTATATTATGTTGTTTTCACACCTCTGCTAAAATGTCAGTTTTTGTGACGTAAAAAAGAGATAAAGATACATAAGTTGTGCAATGGCAAGCTTGATGAATAAGATCCTCTTCGTCTTCAGCGTTCTAGCAAAAGTCTCATAGTTTTCTGCCAGTGATATTTCATAATTCCCTCCACTTTGACTGAAATCCCAGTTTCCTAATGCTCCCACCAACATCATTTCCCGGATGTGTGTTTTATACTTTAAGGAGATGGAGGTAGGCCTTTGGGTGTCTCCTTGACCAGTTCCTGCACATTTATTTTTCAAATTTACAGCGACGTACATTTTTTCAAAAATGTCACAGTTGAAACATTTTTTTTTTTACTTTATAAGGTGTCGTTGTGTTACATTATCATTTTAGTTTGTTTTTCATTTGTGTTGTATAGATGATATGCCACTCAGAGCAGCAACATGTTGTGAAATAATGCACTGTTTACATTAAAAAGCCATTAATTTGAACCAGTGTGTGAACAATATTTATATCCAGTCTGTCACACAAATTTATGACTCCTTAACATTACCTTGCTTTGCATTTTTGCTTCACTCATAATTGCTGTACCATATTAGAAGCACTGCAACTTCATTCACCAACACATCAGATTGATAGAAAAAAAAACATTGGCCCTGAAAATATAATTTCCATCTGAACATAAGAGAAAAAATTTAAAGTTTGAAATGCTTTCTAATATCACAGAGAGTACCCAGAGTACTCATAAATATTTCAGCTTTGACTGAAAGGATTCAAACAGATACCAATTCAGACAGAAGGTTTGATGATCTCCTGTTTTCCTGCTGAGTTGATGTTAGCCTTTTTAGATTGGCTTTAATCTATCTAGGGGATGCAAATTGCATCAGGAGACCAAAGAACTCAGGAACGACAGCATTTTCAGATTTGTTTTTGCAGTAATAGGGCCGGATGTTCTGAGCATGGGCAGACCGAGGAAAAAGCTCAGTTTTAATGAGACTAACAGCTCCAAAGTAGAAAAAGTAAGTTTTGCGTTCTGTTCAAACTTCTCTCTTTGTATTGGCTTTAAAAGAAAAAAAATCCAAACCAATTAATTTGCATACTCTCTTACTACCGATCATCTACGGGAACGTGGACACGGTTTTGCTTCTAAAATGACAACGAGGCGAGTGTTTACTCAACTTAAAAAAAGTTGTGATTTTGCACAACTCATTAATTGCTTATTAAAGAACATCCCAGGTTAATGTATTCTTACCACTTAGACATTAAAACTGTGCAGTCGTGATGGGTTGCACTGCATTTGGGTTTCCTAGTTGGTCGGTAACAGGACGTCTGCAACAAAACAAAGCCGTTCCATTCTGCCCTGTCTCTAGGCGGAGCAGGACAACGGTCACCCCCTGCCAGCGTTCGCCAACCTTCAGATCGAAGTTCTGGATGATAACAACCAAGCACCGTATTTTTTGGAGTCTGGTTACCATGGATACGTCAGTGAGGCTTCACCAGTCGGAACTACCGTCGCTACCAACGTCACTCTATCGGCTCCCCTCACTATAATAGCTTTGGATAATGACGTGGAGGAGGTAAGCATGTTCTGTACATGCAAGTATTATAACAGTGCATTTTTTATGGTTATGGAGCAGTCTTCACAGCTATTGAATTTTCTTAACTTTTTGGTGTAACAATAAACATTTATCGTTTTGAAGTTTATGATCATGCCCTTCATTGTACAGCTGTTTTTATATTGAGATTAAAGTGGGAATCTCTCTCTGTTGATAAGTGATTTTATTTAGGAGAGTTGGTAAAGGAGGCTCAATGGATGCCACACTGAAGATTCTGTTTTTAATATGATCAAATGTTAAAATATATTTTTCTGAAGAGTTAATTGTTTTTTATGCTTTTAGCTGAAACCCAATCAGATGCCTGTAGGTATCATCTGACTTGTGTGTTGACTCTAATTCCTTTCTCTTAATTTTTAACTAGCAATGTGGATAAAGACACCAAAAGTTTACTTAAAATGTTAATATTCATTAAACCACGTCTTTGGCGTTTTACTGTTCATACGGTGTGCTTCTGGAGATCATTTTCTGTTGGTCGCCTGACTGAAACCTGTGCAGTGAGATCTATCAGTAACTTCTCTGCAAGCTAAAAAGAATCCTAATTTAAAATAGTGAGAACATTTTAAGTAGGATAATAAAACATTTTCATGTTAGCTCAATACAGTCTAAGACAGAATATGTATGCATTAAATTGCCACATGAGTTACTAAATTGACAAATCAACCATTAGTCAGTTTTGACAAGACAGCTGAGGACATTTCTTCATGTTATAGAACGATAAAGGAGATGTGTAATTTTCCGTGAGGTTTACTCTGCAGTCAGAATTAGAATCTCGCTGTTCTGGTTTTAAAAGGCCCTTTGGCTCTTTGCTTCCTTTATGGCTCAAAACTAAATTACTCCCTTGAGCACTAGTATATAATAACATAAGCATATATAATAATGCTGCATTTCCATGCAGGCATGAGAAGGACTCTAACATATTTAAGTGCCCACCTCTTTCCTGCTTTTCTCCCCACTGAATCTCAGCTTTGTGCTTTGCTTGCAGTGTTTGAAGTGCCCTATCTAAAGTGCCTGTGAATCTGACAGTAAAACCGTTTGGCTCTTTAAATTACCTCCCAGTAATAATTGAGATTTTACAGTGCCACAATATTGTTATCGCCGACCGACGCATCCCCGACAGCTGAGTTTGTTTAAGATGTGGTGAAGACATTTTGACAAAAACAATCTTTGGTTCATTGCTGTCTAAAGGTCTCCCCCCAGCAGGGATTGGTGTTTAGGAAGGATAATGTGTCAGGGTGGGATTTTTAGTTTAAGGCAATTGATAAACAACTAGTTATTTTTAGTTTTCCCATCCCTGGTCTTTCCCTCTGCAACAGGCACCAACAATGATGATTAGTCCTAATAGCTTTTATGCACTGTCTGTCACTTTTTATTTATGTTTCTGCATGCTAATGTACGTTCCTGTGTGTTACTGTTTAAATGTGTGTATGCATGTGTGTGTTCATGCTTATTTATGGCTCAATATCCGCAACAGCAACATCGACAAGATTATCAGGCCCCCTACCCTGCTGAGCCAGCCTTATCTGGAATGAGAAGAGCTCTCTCTCTCTCTCTCTCTCTCTCTCTCTCTCTTGCTCGCTTGCTCTCACCCTCTCTCTCTAACACAGAAACACACACACTCATATATAAACACACAAACAAGAGATGGTTGTTTGGAAATGCCAGAGCAGGCCATAGATGAGAATTGCCTCTTCATCACTGAGTGTGGCATGCATTTGCAGACATTTACAATTTGCTGTTAGTTTTAAGTTTCAATGTCTGGAAATCAATTGAGATTTTTTTTTTTTCTATTCAGAATTTTCTTTCAAAGCCAAACACCTCTTTTTTGGTGGTGGGGGGTTAGAGGTCGGGGGAGGTGGGGGTTACTCTTCGTTATTCCTCCTGCAGATGTTCTTGTGCTTAGGTAGGGCATTGACGTTTGTTCTGAAAGACTTTCATTAGCACGATATGGAACACCTGGTGATTCCTCAAGTTATTTAAAGCTTGACTTCCAACAAACTTGCCTCTGCTCCCTCCGCAGGTATGCTGTCATGTTTCGTTTCGTAATTAGATTTCGAAGAAGCCATGGCGTGCATCAAAGCACATATTATGAAGGCTTTAGAAAAGCCAGCTTGCCAATTTCACACAGCAGAACACCTGAACAATCTAAACAAATATCGTGGGTGTTCTCCTAGAAAATTAGGCAGTAACCTTACATTAAGGCGATATTTATTAAAGACCCATAGTTGTTATGAGTTTGCTCAAAGGCTCCACCATGTCACATGTAAACATTTGACCCGAAATTCAAAAGTTTAACCCATGTAGAGTGTTATTATACACATGGAGTTTGTTATATTCCTATGTTCCTATGTTGTTTTTTTTTCTTTTTTTTTGTTGTTTTTTTCTGCAGAGTAGCAAAGATTCTGCCAGATAAAAGGTTGAAAAGAAACGGCTTCCTCAGTGCCAACTGCAGTCCACCAATCTGTTAAGCTGTTTTTATTACCTAATTATACCAACCCAACATAACTCAAGAACTACTTCTTCCTTCTTATCTATAGACATAGATACAGCAAAGTGTTTAGCCTTAAACACTCACCTTTTTCTCAAGGACACATTATATTAGTTTAAATTTGATTTACCAGGCAGTGAAACACTCCCAGCCACTTGATATCAACAGACCTCACTTTAACAAGATTTTGTGGCAAAATCTCAGACATCAAAATTTTGCATGTTTTCCTAAACTTCCATCAAGGATCTGTCAAGTTTAAATAAGTCTCTATGAGTTCCTCGTTGTGTGATACACCTCCATTGTGTAAAATACCTCTTTTTGTCTTTCACAGGCCCGGGATCCACAGCTGCACTTTTCTCTGGACAGTTATTCTCATGTTTTTTCTATATCAACTACGGGAATAAGAAGATATCTCACACTGTTGCAGCCTGTAGACAGAGAAACACAAGACTCCTATACATTCACGGTAATACACAGGCTCAATATGTGTGTGTGTGTGTGTGTGTTATTGTAAACAGGAAAACTACTTGCATCAGGGGAAAGTAGGGAGAGAAAACTTGCAGCGTTGAAAAGGCAGTTTTATCTGAAAGAATATTAGAACTGGAAGCAAAATTAGGATGGAGTTGTGCAAAATTGCAGTGCAATGGGGAACAAAAAAGAATGTGGGTAGACAAAGAGGATAAGCATTTTACAAACCATTAAAGACAGAGTTGCAGAAAATCATGGTGTGGAAAAAGATCATTAAGATTCAAGTGTTGTGAAGGAGGAGGTTGCACAGAACACAAGCAATACATTTAACATAAAGGGAAGAGCGAGAGAAGAACAAGAATGACAAAAAGAAAAATGCTGGATTAACTCTGCTTTGTGCCTTTGTTTTTATGGAGCATAATCCAGAAAACATTCCCCTCCTCTGCTTTTTGTGTCCATCTTAGCAAATAAGTAGACATTAATATGTTTTAGTCTGTTTATCGTTTGCTTATGAATTCAACAGCAAAAACAAAAACTGAACCAACCTTAGCAACGCCATGGGGAATGAGTTTGAATTACCGACACCGTCCACAGGATTTGATTATAGAGGCCTTTACTCATTTACAGAGATATCCAATGTAGTCTGCGACATACAATAAGGAGAGAATACATTTAGCCCATTTCCATTTGAAGTATATTTTTGATCTTGGAAGATCATTGCACTATACCATGACCATATTGCTGGTCGAGAAAATATATGTCTTTAATAGAAGGGAAAGTGCTGCAAGAGTTATCTGCTGTAGGACCAATACTGAGGGGCCATAAACCATCGACAGAACTCAATTTCAAATAATCAACACTCCCTCCCTTTAAGCATAGAGTACAATGATTATACTCTTGTTGAAACAGCATTGCAGCACCTTCTTCCTGGGTCGTATGCCCGTAACTTAACTCTTCTATTACTCTGTGACGAGGCAAACCCTGCGTAAGACTTTTTTATTGTGTATACTTATCTCCCTTAGTTTCTCACTGCCTTCCCCTCCTATTGTTTTTTGTTTTCTTCCATTCATTGGATCTGTTAAGTGCATTCAACTTCAATGTGATTTTATTGGCCTTGCACCGAGACGCTGCCCTTTGCCAAGCAAAACATCTTAATATGAGGACTTCATGGTATGCAGGAAACCATTGATTCTTCATCTAGCTGTAATCTGCTAATTCCACTCTGACAACGGAGACGGTGTGTGTTTTTGTGTGAAGTTGTGAAACAAAATACATAACTGTATGTGCCCTTGAATGTGCATTCAGCAATTTGGAAGTTAAAGATGGAAAAGGAGAAGGTCTGGAGTATTGATTGAAAGTCAGAGGTATACTGTAATCATTATGAAAGCCTTGGAGAAGAAATTAAACTCTGACTGGAAGAAAGAGAGTGCCATGAGACACGGAGAGCCATATCCATCAGAAAGGAGTCAATCAGCTTCTTGGCAGATGAGCCTGTGAAGAAGATTGGTATCAGTAAAGACCATTATTTTTTTGTTGATACTTGCAGACAGAGATTCATAAAACATAGGGAAAATAATATATATGGCAAATAGGATAGGCGAGAGTAAATGCAATGCAAAAGGGGTTTAAACATTGTGATAAAGAGATTTTAACTTCATCAGCACAATGTGCAGCATGAATCCTTCGCAAGCATTAAGCCACTAGGTGATTTTACACATAAGCAATTTTTGACACACTGTTCCTTGTTTATTTTTGAGTGCTTCAATTTTGACAAAAGATTAAGGTTTACAGCTGTCAAAAATGTGTTTGAATTCAGTAAATTGATATGATAAATGGTTTTGTTTAGCGAGATGAAAAAACATAAAGAACAGTTTAACGAGGATAGATATTTATGTATTCAAAGAAACAGAATGGGGGAATCTGATTAAATGAAGATCAAATATATAAACATCTATTGCTTTTAGTCAAGTGAGGCAGGTTTTTCAGACAGGTGTCGTTGCACAAGGAGAAACAAAAAATATCTGAATGACTCAATAAATCCAATTTACAGCTGCTAGTTTAGCGAAAGCAAGCAAATATAAAAGACTAAATAAAATAATCTTAGTGGTGTTAACATTAGGAAACTACAATACAAGAGATATAATCCATATTTTAGTGACTTAATAAATAAACTAACAGTTGATTGTGTACTATTTCTGCTCTTCAAGAAAAAAACTACAGTTTACTGGCCTAAATCATGAAACATTTTAACTACAGAGTATTAGTTTAAGTGAAGATTATTTTTCAACATGGAAAGAGTCACTTCTCTCAGTGAAGGCTTAAATAGTCTGCAAGAACCAAAAATAATAATAAATGTTTTTCACTTACAGTGGCAACAGCAAGAACAAAATCTGTTTTGCTGTATACAAGACATTTCATATTTCACAAGAACTCAAGTGCAATGAAGTCCTGGGAAGTCCTCAACTGCATCATTTGTCAGTGTAGTAAATGTCTCCCCTTAGAAGTATCGGACCAATCAACACTGCACATAAAAAAAATAATAATAAAGAAAAAAAAAACTTCCTCCTTGTTCATGTGCCAATAGCAAGCGGCCGTAACTATTGGGAGAACAAGGCTAAGAGACCAGAATCGTGTCATTTTATAAACGAGAACAAATTTCCCTTTTCCTGCAGAGAATGTGTAGGTGGAGTATGTAAATGTATAGGCAGAATGACGCCTGCTCGGTCTTTTTAAAATCTCATCTGGCGAAATAAAATCATTTCTGGTTCGCTCTTTTGATGTCAGATGAAACACAATTTAATTGTTAGTCTAAAACGAATCAGCCTTCACCCACTGTAACAAAACAATCAATCAACCCCAAGAGAACAACCTAACTGTCAATTATGGATCTGTAAGGTTGGTTTACTGCCAATGGGACAGACACCTTAATAATGGTAAATGGCATCATAAAAAATAACTTAGTATGTCAAGATACTCAACAGCAATCTAAGTATTTGGCTATGTTGGAAAATTCAATACAACAATGAAACCTAAAGAGTAGAAACGTTTAGCCAATGAAAAACATAAATGCTTTCTAGCCGTCCAGGAAACTTGAATGTTCCAACTTTAATGTAATGGAAAATCTGTGAAGTGAGCTAGGCTATAACTTTGAAATGCTCTCAGAGAACTGGAGAATATTTCATTTAAAAAATGGTAAAAGTTAACATGCAAACATGCAAAACTTGTGTAGCCTTGTAGTTTGTATTTGATATGCCTATTTAGAAGTATCTATAATTACTTGATTGCCTTAATAGGCTTTTTCATTTACTGAAAAGGAGATGAATGATTTTGGGAAAAACATTACTTTTGTTCTAATGTAAATAAAAATAAAACAGAAGTTATGTATTGCCAAAACTATATGACTTGTATTAGCTTTCGTGAGATGCCTGTGATATTTCAAAGAGAGAAAAAATAAAATTTTGCCAGGGCTTTACTGTGTGCTTTACATAAATCAATGACTAAGAGAACACAATACAACTGTCACCACTTTAGTATAAATAGCCATTTTTACTGTAGCCAAGCAACAGGAAATATATATTTTCCTGCTTTTGACTTCAGGCAGGCATAAGTTTGTGAAACAGAAGTGGGGCATTCTGGCAACCATCCAGTGTGTGAGAGTCCAAAAAAACACTGTGAATGACCATCCTTTTCATGCGTAAAATGACCCAGGGAGACAAACAGACACATCAAACAGCTGTGTAAATAATGGAAGCCCAACGCGACTTTACCAGATAAACTCCTTCCTCACTTGTCTCGCTGCACCATGCACTTGCAGACCTATAATGAGCGGACCTTGTCCCTAATATTCAGCTAAACAGGCAGGGAGAATTCATGCTCCATGTTGTTTTTGTAAGCTGGTTTCTAAGTAAAACAAAAACTTCTGAAAGGAAACTACACACAATAAAATCTCAAGAACATGTTCAGAGTACAAACCAAATTCTGAATATCACTTTTTTTTTTTTCCTATTGTTTGTTTTCACTTTTTGCGTTGATCTGTTGTTTTCTCCTGTGTTTTTGCCTCCACAGCTGTTGGCATCAGATGGTGTTCAGCAAAGTGCTCCTGTTATTGTGACCATAACAGTGCTGGATGCCAATGACAATACTCCAACGTTTTCCAATGTCTCTTATAGCGTAAACCTGTTCACTGATATGTCGCCTGGAGAATCTGTCATAAAGGTATGTGCGAGTTATTAACGCAGCTGTTAAAACGTGAACAATTTTATACGTATTTGTGATCCTGTTTGTCTTTGTAGATGTCAGCAGTTGATTCTGATGCAGGTGAAAATGGTCACATCAGTTATCACATCTTGGCTGGTGACCAGGGAAAGTTTCTAATAAACAGCAGGTAAACCGATCAGAGACAATTCAATACTGTTGATACGTTCTGTATTTTACTGTTATATCATATGATTTAACATTTTATGTGTTTTTTACTGTAGTTTTATTGTTTATTTGGTGATCAGACATCTTTCTGTAGCAATCTTTCTATTATAGCAGTTTATATATGAAAACAAAAGAATAAATTATCTGATTTGAATCCAACATCAAATAGCATCAACAGGAAAACATGACTTAAATGTCAGTAAACCTGAACCCAATTTTTTTTTTTTTGATGAAAAAAGCATATTTTATTCAGTCATACAGTTTAAAACAATTTCAAGAAAATAAAATATCAAGGAGGTAAAACAATGATTTGTGCTAACCAACATTTTGTGAAGTGTCCTAAGGACTTTTTTAAACATTTTGGAATTAATCATTATTTTTCCAGCAGGTTTACTCACCAGTGATAACCATTTTAGACAACAGACATTTTTTCATGTGCCTGTGGGTTTTCATTGTTGTTAGACCTTGGCATGCTCACACAAAAGGCAAAACCAAACAACAGAATCCTTAAAAAGACAACTCAGAATCTATTGTCTTCAGTTTTCATCACAAACCCCCCCCCCCAAAAAAAAACAACAACAATTGATGGGGATGCGGAAAAGATTATTGGTGAAAAACTCTGCTAACAGCATGATTTAGGATTGCTTCAGTTAGATCTAAGCAAAGTATGAGTCTTAAAAGAAAGCTATACCAAAGCTAATACTGATTTGATGAGAATAAATTGCAGGTTTTGCTTCAATAAAGCGATTGTCAGCATTTTTACAACAACAGAAGGTAAAACAGTTATTTGATTGTGCTGCACAGTGGCAGTAAGAAGGTTCTGGGTTCGATTCCTGACATGCGTGCATGTTCTCCTTATGCATGCGTGGATTTTCTCCGTGTACTCCGGCTTCCTCCCACAATCCAAAAAGTCAGGTTAACTGGCCTCTCCAAATTGCCCTTAGGTGTGAGTGTGTGTGCATGGTTGTTTGTCTCTGTGTTGCCCTGCGACAGACTGGCAACCTGTCCAGGGTGACCCCGCCTCTCGCCCGGAACATTAGCTGGACCCCACCAAGGGACAAGGGTGTAAAGAATGGATGGATGATTGGACTATAAAATGGTATATGTGCCTGGGAAATGCATACTGCCTCTCTAATATTTCCGAAGAGCCACAGGCTGAAGGCTTAAAGAACCTACGAAAGTACTGAGTACATATTTTGTACCATATATAGACATACTTTTTAATAGCCCAATAAATCTGTAAACAGTGTAGATAAAGACATGAAACATATCCCTCTTTGTGTAATGAATCAATTGAAAATACATGCTTTGCTTTTTTAAACAAATCACTGAAATAGATTAACTTTTCAATGACATTCTGATGAATTGAGAAACAAAAGTTTATCACTGTGAACTTAATAAAACTCCACTTATGATAACTGATTTCCACAGGCTAAAGGACTGCTAATGAGAAAGCAGGTGGTAAATGGTAAACTATAGGAGAAGTCAATGAATGCATGTATAATGTAATGTGAAAGCATGCGGCGTGTTAATAACCGCGTACATTTAATCATTGTTTTCACAGCACCGGGGTAATTACAGTGGCACCAGGTGCTGAACTGACTGTTGGCCGAAGTTACGCTCTGACTGTGGAAGCTGTAGACAATGGGCCTGCGCCTCACAGACGGTAGGGGGTTTCTCTGTTTCTGCTCCGTTGCTCATTTCCTATGTCTGTGTGAAACTATGGCATGAAAGGTCAGGTCTTTACAGCTTTCAAATTTATTTTCTGACCCTTTTCAACACCACCTACGGCTCCTTTTTATTACTTTATCGTCGTCTGTCTTCTCATTTAATCCCAACTTTTAGCTGGAAAATTACGGGAGTAATTTATAATATTAGTTTTTTTTAAGGCAAGTATTTCTTGTCATTTATCTCAGAAAGTGAGACTCATATTATCTAGAATCCTCACAAATATATTCCAAGTCTTTGATTCTAGTAATTTTGATAATTATGGCTTACAGATGATGAAAACCCAAAATTCAGTGTCTCAGAAAATTAGAAATGTCATAAGGTCATTGTTGGAAAATCCTAGTGTCACTCCCTTATCAGCTAATTGATTCAAAACAGAGGTCAGCATAGGTTTGTTGAAAACGTTCTCACTCTGGTTCAGTAAACTACATAATCATAGGGATGTCTGCTGACTGGACAGGTGTCCAGGCAACAGTCATCAACACCTTAAGTCACAGAGTAAGTAACAATATGTCATTGCTGAAGAAGCTGATTGTTCAGAGTTCTGCATCCAAGCATATTGACAGAACATTGAGTGGAAGGAAGAAGTGTGGTTGAAAAAATGCACCAGCAACAGTCAGAGGACTGTCAAGCAAAATCCATTCCAGACACACAGATGAATACTGGAGATGAGTCATGTAAAGTCAGTCCTGAACCAGAGATAACATCAGCCATTCGTTGGTGTTGAGCCACTGAAGTCCACAGTCAACCAGCCACCTACCAGGAATTTCTAGAGCTCCTTCTGCTTCTCTGCTGACGAGCCGTATGGAGATGCTAAATTTATATTCCTGCAGGACCCGGCACCTGCCCACACTGACGGCCAAACGTACCAAAGGTTGGTTCAAGGACCATGGTATTCCTGACCAGCTAACGCTCCCGATCTGAACCCTATAGAAAATCTGCTGCTTGTTGTCAAGAGGAAGAAGAGAGACAAGCCAACAAGGTAGATGACCTGAAGGCAGCAATCAAAGCAGTCTGTGCTTCTGTTACACCTACTCACCGCCACAGGCTGATGACCTCGATGCCTCGACGCTTTATTTCATATAAGTGGAGACTCAACCGAGTACTGAGTGCATAGAAATGTACACATTTTCCATCCGTTACTCTTGATTTGTCCAATGTGGTATTCTAATTTTTTTGAGACAAAATCTTGGGGTTTATATACCTGTAAGCCATAATCGTTAAAACTGAAAAAAACAAAAATAAAAGTTTGAAATATTTTATTCTGTGCCAAGGATCTCTATAAACTAACCATTTCACTTTTTGAGATAACTGGAAAGGAATATTGCATTTTTACACGATATTCATTTCTTTTAGATGAAGTCGTATTTCTACAGAATAAAATGTTCTGGCAAGGAAAGTCAGAGTGAAATGATATTAGAATTGAAAAAATGGGAAGGTGTGACTCAAATATCAGCGTGCTCCCTTCTTTTTATTTCCCAAAAGGGTAAATGTCAACTAATGCAGAAAATGCATTCAAATAAATTTAATTCCTCTCTTCAAGGGCTAAATCAATAAATAACAGCAGCTTTCACTAAGCCCCTAATGCAGGACTTTCCACAAACTTTTTCCAATCGTCCAGGAAAAAGCGTCGGCTTCAAACGCTCTGTAAAGTGGCGCTTGTATTGATTTGATTGCAAAAACTCTGGCAGAGAACAGTTCAGTTGTGATTTTCTTAGTTTTAGCAATTTCTATGCGATATTTCAGAACTGGAATAAATCAAACCTTTGAACGGTTCATCCAGTAGAATCCAGTCAAGCTGCACAGAACCACAAAATGATGCAGCTGTTGTTTTGGCAGAGACTTTGATTACCAGAGTGTTTTATGCAGCACAGGAAACATTACAGAACAGAGACTCTCAATGAAGCATATGCTGGTCATTCTCTCTCTCTCTCTCTCTCTCTCTTTCTGCCAATTGAAAAAGTAAAACACTTTATAGAGATTAATGGCAGAACGATTGATGTTTCCAAGCCTGTATTTCTTTTAATTGTGAAGATTTTTTTCTAAATATGGACTTAATGAAAAGTATGTTTCATACATGCTTAGTGATGGTTATTTTTAAGAAATAAACTGTTGTCATTGAAGCATATAAATCACAGCATACACCAGTTAATAAAATCGCCAGGAATGTTGGTTTTTGATGCCTGAAGCATGGATTAAATTATAGTGTTTTTCTTGGGGAATAGCTGAACAAAAGGGTAAATTATTACCACACTGTCGTTGAGATGGGACAAACAAGCCGAATCCTTCCAGTGGGGGAAAAAAAAAAAACAGAACAAAAGCAGTAATCAGTTAAAAATACAGGGGAAAAATTAATCAAGATTTTATTTCTTTCTTTGGTGAAATTGTTTTAAGAAAACTTTTCATTGAACCTTTGTGTCACACAAACATTACTGAAGAGGCCACAGATTGCTGATTAGAAGTGTGTATTTTGAATTTGACTTTGGCGATTTTGTCACATATTTTGGGGTGCTAAATGATGATTCACACCGTTTTATTTTGAGCATTCATACCAAGGAGTACGAGCATTTGAATGGCTTTAGGGACATATGGGTGAGGTCAAAATGCTGCTGCGTTGTTGGCTTCCTGAAGATGTGCTCCATTCCATGTTGGAATATTTTTAACGCTGTCGTTTCTGACTTTGATGCGTCACTTTACGTGTAATTCAAATCTTTTTTTGGAATGGCTACATGTAGGAATAGGCATGTTTCAGATTCTCACAACATGTCCTAAAAACAAAAATACTTCACAGTATTGAAGTATTACAGTATTTTAAAGTGAAAGGCGGTTAAACAAATTGCATTAATTTAATATATAGCTTATTTATTAGTTTGAGAAAACAGCAGTTATTTGGTAACTTCTCCTGTAATACTATGTTTATTAATAGTTTGATACATAGACACACATGTGAAGATTGAGATGAGGGTGACTGTGTTTTCAACCATTGTTTAAAACCAATTATTTCCAGATTTCAGAATTTTATATTTTTGTCTTTTGTAAATTGTCAAAAACAATGTGATATCCAACAGCAATAATAGATATTTTGTCAAAAAGTATTAAATAAATACATGTGTATTTATATGGTTTAGGGGTGAGGAGGTGATAAAATTCATAAGAATGAATTTGGGTAACTCTAGGAAATTAAAGTGATGCTTGATTTACACATTTTCTGTCCTTTTATCTTTTAAAGACTTGTTTTCATAAGGACCCAGAGAATTTGTCCACCTCCTCGCCTTTTAAGAAGTGACTTTGAAGCATCATTGAAATGCTATTTATGATAATATTAAGCCTAAAAAACAAACAAATTCAGTGGAGCATCTCAGAAAGCTAATAAGCAGTGTCTTCCGAAAACAAGAATAAATCAGTTTCCCTTTTGCAATCATCTGTATGGATATAAAGCTATTTAAGCATTTGGGAGAAGGTAAAACCCCCAAAGCTGCGTCCTAATCATTGCCCATGGGAAATAACAATACACAGATGAAAGTGAATGTTAGCATATTCCCTGATGGAATCTCAGTTATGGTAAAAAAAAAAAAATGCAACATTGTCAAGTCTTTAAACTGTAAAACTTTCAAATTATGGGATAAAATGAGCTCTTCTACTCTAAAACCTGTGTACTAAGGAGTCAGCTGATTATTAGGTTCTTATAACCGTGGTAGTGGTTCTGAATTCAACAACACTGAATCCACCCGATTCACCGCATAAAATCCACCAGTTTAGCCAAACTCATGTCTGGAGTGTTAAGGGACTTAAATTAATTTTTAACATCCGTTAATAATCTTTTAAAATCTCTGTATTTTGCCTCTGAATGTCCAATATAACATAAAACTAACTATCCTATGGTATTTGCAGAAGATAAACACATGCCTCTCTTCTTCGGGACTTGGTATGACAAATATAGCTATCAAATCAATAAAATGTGAAGCACTGCAGATTGAGGTGGTTCCAGTGATTGGCTCAGAGATTGTCACCAGATTTCCCCAGACCCACTGTTTATCTCAGCAGAAAACATAACCAGCATGACAAATCAATATCTTTCTCCCCTGGCAATGTTATTGAATCTATGGGTCAAGATCCAAAATGAGCTATGTCCTCTTCTTGTTAGGCATCGTCAAGACAAGAGTCACTGCATTTCTTTTGGTCTGAGTTTCACTTTCCCAGAAGTATAAGAGACGTTGTGTCTGGTCTCACACATCGCTAACAGTAAATTATTCTGAAGGGCTTTCATACTTTAATCATAAATGAAAGAAAAGTATGTAGAATAGATAAAGTTGTTAGATTAAAAAGCCAGACTAGCAATAAGAGGTCATGTTCCAGTATTGTCCTACATTGTTGAAAATGAGTGGGAAATTGCAACACTATAAACAAAGCAATAACAAAATATGTTTCAAAAAAGTAAAACTAAAGAAGTTCTAAAAACAGTCATTGGGTCTGTGACATAATCTTACCTTGATATCCATTTAATTATTAAACACCAGCAAACGGAAATGAAAAGTTGACCAAACACAAGTGGTGACATTGCACAGCCCTAATTGTGTTTTGCTGTGTTAGCCTTCCTGCATATAAAAGTAATTCTATTTTAGAGTGATACATGTATTGGCATGTTTTAGTTCTACAATTAAGAATTGAGTTAAAATTGATTTGTTCACTTCATTCACATATATACACTGTTAAATGACTGATAGAACTTAATGCAAGGGTGTTGCTAGCTTGTTCCAGCAGTGGCCATGACTTGCATGGCGTGCTGCATTTCACACATTATTCCATCTTTACAAAAGTTTTGGAAGCCCTGAAGTTCTAAATTGTATATTCATTCACCCACCCCTCCCTTAAGAGCAAAGCCATGATATAGTTTGGGAGTATTATTAGCATGCATTAAAATTTCATCAAGGTCACTCTCCCCTACAAGTTCAAAATAATCATAGACAAAGTTTACAGCCTTCAAAGGAAGTACAACTTGTCATGTCAACATTTTTCTCAGTTTAATCATTTCTAATGGGGGTCATTGAAAGAAAATTCACACCTGAAGTCGACAACAGCCTACGTAATGCACACACACACACACACACACACAAAGAAATCAAATTAAATTACTCCACAAAATAAGGTTCTGCATAACAAGGTGGACTACTACTGTCATGGGTTTTGTTATGTTTCTGACTCACTTCAGGAGACCGAATAGAGATTTTAAAAGGTTTATGATAACAATGAGTAAGGAATGACAGCTGAGGTGAGAGGCTGGAGACTTGGGCAACGGAATCACTCTGAGGAGATGGAGAAGTAAGTAACAGAATATAAAAGTTGAAATGCAATGATGGTGAGGAACTGAGGATTTATTGATGAAGAGGATGATGTACCCCAGGGAGAGGCGAGTAGAATTGCGGTTGTTGGCTGAGTGGTGAATGTCAGACGGGAAGGAGAGTTTTGGAGCTGTGAGTCTTGAAACTGTGAGAACCGAGAGGGCCAAGGACGCTGGAGACTTGGAATGAGGAATGGAGAGGAAAGCTAGAGACGTGAGCAGGAGCAGAAACACAAAATGTAACATTGGAGGGCGGACAGGTGATTTGCAGGATGATGAAGATGATGAAGAGAAGGGTAGAGAATGCTAGAGGTGAGATGAGACCAATTGATATTGCAGGAGTGAATCTTTGATCGAGGAAGTCCAGATGATCTTGCATAGAGGATACAGACTCACGGGAGGAATTAAGGGGAAACAAAGAGAAGTCAGAGCTAGTAATCAGGCACAGGGACAAAATAAACATGGAGGGCTAACGTTACCATGTAGGTAACAAGCTGTGTCTTCATCTAGCTCCTTCTATTCTTTTGCGGATGGTCTTAACGAGGAAGAACCGTTCTTTAGTGCGGTACCAGCAGCTCCAGGTCTCTGCTGAGCGCTCTGGGGAAACTACAGCTCCAGAAGGAGAAATCAAAACACCACATTAGGTAAACTACGTTCTAAAAGGAATAGAAACCCAAGAAACCATCTGGAATCTGTCAGTGTTTAAAAGGAATCCTGCTGCTATGTACTAAACAAACTCAGCAGGGTTGCTGTTAACTTATTATCAGTGAAAGGTGTCTGACTAAAGTATGACATGTTTTTTTAAACAACAAATAACGCACTAGATGCAATGGCCTCCATGCATGCTCATTCTACAAATCAATGGCTGCAGCATTTGCTGCAGAAGATTTGGACAACCAGTCGGGCAATATAGTCTGGCCAGACGAGGCCAAAGCTGAAATCACTGGATATTGATGCACACACCATGTTTGGAGGAAAAGTGGCTCTGCACATCATCCCAAAAACCACCATGCCAAAAAATGAGAAATGCAGGTGTACACATTGTAGTGGGTTCTGTCCTATAGAATATAATATACATGCAGACTCCGTATGCTTGAAGAAAGGATCAAAGGAGAAATGTAACATGTTTTTGATATGAGTCTGAAGATGAAAGGAATGCTTATTTCCAAGCAGTCCCCAAACACACAGTCAAGGAGACGCTAGACTGACACAGTTAAGGACCTGACTTGTATCTAACTGAATATCTACAGAATTGATGATCAGTCTGCATAGAATGACCCCCCTCACCCCCCCCAGAGACATTGAAATCTATTGCCAGCTTGTGTGAAGGAATTTGCCAAACTTGCACCTTAGTAACATATGAAACTAGCCTCTCAATATGCATTCATCTTGAAAATATTATTACTAAGATATGTACTTTATATTTTTCTCTGTATGTAATTCAGTGCTTATTTCCCATGTCACTGCAGTTTTCTCTCCCAAGGTTCATTTATGAACCATTCCGATTTTATTTCTTTATGGACCAATTAGAATTTATCAGTTAGATAATGTAATCTTTACAAAAGAAAAACATTAGGCGCAAAATAAGACATTCTGTTTGGGGGGGAAAGTAGTGAAGGAAAATGTTTGTGAATAGAGCATATTGAACTGTTTGAGTTGTTTATCAGAGGGGAAAGTAAATACTATGCAATTAAGTCTTTATTTCCCAAAGTGAAATGATCACCTGTCAAGTCCTCAACCAAATGCTTTGTCTACTGATGCCTTGTGAAATAGAAAATCAATATGATTTCCTTTTTCCCTTCCACTAATTTTCTTTTGCAAATCCAATAACACCAAAACATATTTTGATTTGTACCTTATTAAGACACTGTCTGTATACTGCTTTATCAAATGGAATAGCATAAAGTGTTAATGGATGCTCCTATTTCTTTCAATCCTGTTGAGGCTAGCGATAATTTGAAACATAGACTGTTAACATTACATCAGGAAAATAAGTATTTAACACGTCAATGTCTTTCTCAGTGAATACATTTTTAATGAAGGTGTTGAGCTCTCTGAGTAATCATGGTTCTTAGGCAGCCTTGCTGATTACATGTGTTACTCCTCTGTTAGAAATCCTGAGAATCACCAGGTCATGGCTGGTTCATTCTCTTTCTACTGTAGCAGAGGAAAAATGTGGTTCTATCTCAATATGGCTAAAGCTAAAAGTGCAACACCTTATTTTTTAATGCATTGTTGAAATAAATTTGTGAAGGTAAAAAAAAAAGAGTGAAAGTGGTTCAAGGGACCAACTAGTTATGGTTTCTGTGCCAGCACCAGGACCAGTTGGACAGGTTCACTGGTCAGTCACAACACACAAATCTTCACCTTCTGTGACATTCTCCTTATGTGATAAGTTGACCATGAGACACTCTCTATAGTCCATCAAATAGTAATAAATCATTTTATAATAACCTGGACTGACAGATGGAAGGATTTCCTTTTAAATACTAAAACTTTTAAATTAGCTTTTTGACCTAAAATGACTTTTTGGAGCTTCCTTTCTGTGTGATACCCATTATACTTGTCATTCCATTTTGATGGCCATAAGTTGATTTCAGGACTAATTTGTTCTATTTCTTTGTGTGGAGTATTTGGATTGTGGAGTGAATTTCCTGTTAATGTATATTAAAAAATAAATGTGGCACACAATTATTGATTGTACTTCTATCCAGTTCATTTATATAGTGCCACTTGACAACAAATGTCATCTCAAAGCACTTTACCAAAAAAAAAAAGATAAATTCAATCACACATGCATTCCAATTAAAGTTATCAAAGAGTACATTATGCTGAGTTCATTATTCAAAGTAGATTCAATAGTTTCCATCTAAATAATCTCAGCTGATCTGATTGAGTTTATAACTTGCAGCATTTGCTCCTCCTGGACATTTTTGTTGACTTTTCTGCAATCCCTCTGTTACTAAGGTTACTACAAATACATCGCAATATTTTGACAAAAAATTCAAGTTCACACAGGTGTTTCTAATTCCATACAGAATCTATAAAACTTTGCTGTGATGCAAGTGTAAAGTTTTTATGTGCAATTGCAAAAAAATAAAATAAAATAAAATAAGTAGCTAAAACAAAATTGTTAGCTGAAATAACGAAGTGGCCCCAAAGGGCAAACTGTTTCCACCTACATTCACTCAGCAGGATTACATCAAAATGTTCTTTGACTAAAAGGTCACCACCCGTTGGAAAACTGAGTCACTGAAACACCAGACGAAGTTTGCAAGACTGCTCAATAGATAGCTCAAGATCCAGAGAAAAAAAAAAAAAAAAACTTTTTGTAAAGCCCAGTCTATTTAAACTCTTTGTCACTTACACTGTTGCTGACATTAGGTTTTTATTGATTAAACACAGTAACAGCCAGAAAACACATTATAAAGCCCTTTTTATCTTAAATCATGGGTTGTTCAGTCTGTTTCACTGTCCCTTATATGCTTTGTTACAATTTTATTTTCCTATTTCTTTGACACCTTTTCCCCTCTAATATTCCTCTAGGGCTGCTGTTAATTTAGCAGACACTCTGTAGCTGGCACTCTGTCTGTGTGTAAGTGTTATCCTTATCTGTTCCATTTGCTATACCTCATAGTCTTTTGTCTTTCACCTTTCCTCACTCTGTTCAGGTCTTCCATTACAACAGTATATATTGAAGTTTTGCCCCCAAACAACCAGAGCCCTCCTCGCTTTCCTCGCCAACAATACAACCTTGAGATCAGTGAAGCTATGAGGACTGGTGCTACACTTCTTAATCTGCAGGTAAACTCACACACACACACACACACACACACACACACACACACACACGCAATGTGAAGAACAACAAAAAGAGTTTGATCAAATCTTTGCTGCATTGGCTGAAACATTGCATTGCCTGCTTGTTCAGATTTAAACAAAAAAAAATAAATAAAAAAATATTTTGGACTTTTTCCATTTTTTTTAGCTTTTTCAATCATTAATGCATCGCCTTAGGCTTAACCACATGAAAGTTTTATTCATTAAGTATGATAATCTTTTAAACTCTTACAATAATTAAATGTCATTTTTGTTTTCCCTTTTTAATTAACTTAGCTGCTCATTGCTTTTACCCCTTGGTAACCACATAAGTGCTTGCCAAGGTAGGAGTAACACTGTCAGCAAATCAACACCAGCTGATGGAACGCTAGTAATTGCTGATTGTGTCCTCCAGCATCTTGGCTCAATGGAATAATAATTCCTGACTGTTCAAAGGACAAATTTTCAACGTTATGTTACTGCTTAATTCAGGTGTCCTGGCATTTGTTCATGGAGATACAAAGGCCATAGCAGAAAACAACATTTTTCTTATGATAAAATCAAAATTAGCTGTGAAAACCTGGTTAAAATGATTAAAAACACAATAAGCCTTAAGATCAATTTAAAAGTACAATTTACCCCAAACAAAAATCATACTGATTTACGGAGAAATAGGATATAGTACGATATATATATCCACTTACTGAGCGTTATTCACTATGCCAAGCTGACATTTTCCTTCTGTATTTCAAGGTTAAATAGACAATAAGAAGCAATACAAGTTCAAATTATTACACTCCAATCACCATGCTTCACATATAGGATTTTATTCATTATATTCATTTACACAAATGTTGCCTTTGCTGCAATTTGTGTTTAATATTTAAGCCTCCTGACTTGTCTCATTGATCATAAGCAAAATATCTATATCACTTTTACTTCTAGGGTGTGTTGGATTTGGTGTGGAAAACTTATATCTTTGATATTAAGTGTTCTCCAGATGAATTTACTCTTTAACTTTTTATTTAAAAATAACATAATACATGGATAGATATGAACATTTAAGCAAATGATGCCTGTATTCCATCTTTCACTGTGTCTAAGTGTTTACAGAGTGGCAGTCAAGGCATAATTACCTCAAGAAATGAATCCAAAATATTAATTTTTGGGCAATAAAGGATGCTCCAATCAGCACCAATTTGCAAGTTGCAAGTCTGCATGATTGTTTTATCATTTTGTTCTCCCGTACATTTTCTGCAACATAGGGGAAAGTACCATGAAATGCACAGATTCTGCCCCAAATACCTTCTTCTTGTACCACTCAGGTGGTACTACTCAAAATTACAAGTGCAAAAACACTGTCAGTCTGCCTTTAAACATGTTTAACTGTCTGCTTCTTTTTAAGGCAGTGGATCGAGAGAAGGATCCTATAACCTACAAAATCCACAGTGGAGATATTAATGGAAATTTTGCACTGCAGCAGAGGTAAGTCATAAAATGTGATCAAGTTTTATTTAGGTGCCTATATCTGAAAAGTGGCTGTGCTTTCAGAAAAAATATGGATATAGTGTATAAATGCTAAAAGAAAGGAGAGCAACTAGTAACAGGCTGTCAACTTTGTAGAAGGGAGGAGCGAGAAAATTATCCGTAGCTAAATAATGGAAAAAGGGAGGGTGGAAAAGGTAAACAGTTGGGTACAAAATTACAATTTAAAGGTATAAATAAACCATTTAATAAACTCAAGAAGGGCAGAATCCCATAATGGTGGAGGGTAAATTTTATTCATCATCCTTCTTTTTTTTTTTTTTTTTAGATTTTTCAAACATTTTCAAACATTCACTAACTGTGAAGCTAGACAATGTTCCAATACAAGCCCAAATGTTGCAGTACCTCAGCTGTGTTTTCCACACAGTGGCACAATGAGTACAAACTTGTATTATAAGATACATCTCTGTCTATTACAGTGACAGCACCCAGGAGGGTGTTTTTGTTGGAGAAAGGAAAGGCATGAGCTGCCATCTGGATTTCTAAATTACCCATAATCAGAGTAAAAAACACACCTCCTGCTGGAGAGGCTTTTGTCCAGTGCAGCTTCCCAAGAAGCCATTTACATACAGTGCCTTCCAAAATAAAAGACTCATACCCACTTCTTCTTCTTCTTCTCCTTCTTCTTCACCTTTTGTCACATTGCAACCATAATTTCAATGTATTTTATTGGGGTTTCTTAATGATACACCAACACAAAGCAGTTCATGGCTGTAATGTTGAAGGAAGGATGCATAGTTTCCAGTATGTTTACTGTTTTCTCAGTCCCAGAGAAAACCTATTTTATGATGCAACAAAAAAAAAAAAAAAAACAACTGGAGAATATAGGGAAAGTAAATCTTCAAGCATGGCAGTAGCTGTATATCAGAATGGACCAGTCAAAGTCCATGACCAATTTCAAGTGAAAATCCATGGCAAGGTTTGAAAAAATGTCAACAGATATTCTTGCAGCTGCGATTGGAGCAAAGACATTGAGATTGCAGGGGCCGAATAAAAATGTGTACTACACTCTTCAAATTTTTTTCTCAGTGAAGAAGTTTGAAAACCTTGTAGCATTTCGTTCATTTTATAATTACGGGTTGCTTAGTGTTGTTCAAAAACATAAAACTCCCCCTAAGATACATTAGAATTTATCAAAAGTGTTATCAAAGTTCAGTGTGTATGAATTACTTTGGAAGGCACTGCAAAAAAAGTCTAAGCATTTTAGGGCTGAAACGATTCCTCGAATGATT